TTTCTTCAATTTATCATTTTTCACCTCTTCAATATTCACCACAATTTCTTCCAAATCTACAAAAATAAAAATAAAAAATAAAAAGAAATTTATTGATGCAAAAACACTCACAAAAATACATATATGATTTACATGTGAATCACATTAAATTTATATGTGAATTACATATGATTTATATGTAAATCATATATAATTCATATGTGAATTACTGTGAATTACATGTGAATCACATGTAATTTATATATAAATTACATGTAATTCATATGTGATTTACATGTGAATAACATGTAATTCATATGTGAATTATATATGATTTACATGTGAATCACATATAATTCATATGTGAATTACATGTGAATCACATGTAATTCATATATGAATTATATGTGATTATATGTGAATAACATGTGATTTACATGTGAATAACATTGATTTACATGTAATTTATATGTAAATTACATGTGATTTAAATGTGAATCACATGTAATTCATATATGATTCACTTTGTTCTTTAACATTTTTTCCAAATTAACTATTTTGACCTAATGAAAGGTTAATTTAGAAAATGGTGAATCTCAAAAAAGATCTTATATTTTGTATTTTTCCCGGATTAAACCTCAAAATTTTTTTTGCCAGAAAAGGGCTTTGTATTTTTTTTTTTCATTTTTTCCAATCTGGCCCTTTTAATCATTTTTCTCCTTGTAAAATGTGAGGGTTTTTTTTTTTTTGAGAAAAAATAAAAAAGTTGATGGTTTATTTGGAAACATTAAGGCTGAGGGTTTTTTTCGAAAAAAAAAAATACAAAGTTGAGGGATTTCTCATAAAAAAAATGAAAAAATACAAGGTCTTTCAGGCAAAAAACAAAAGTTTGAGGTTTAATTCAGAAAAAACAAAAAATACAAGGGCTTTTTTGAGATTAAACCTTTAGAAAATCCCTAAAATATTTATGGCTTGATTGGTTAAATAAAATTACTGCGGTTAGAATATAAAACTACACAAAATATAGTAAAGATTAACAAAGATTATCTATTTTTTGTGATTTGCCCTTGAAATTTTCCAACATTATCATAAAAATTTGATTGTATGAAGGTGTTCTTGCAATTTGAACAAAAAAGACTCACTTTTTCCACAAGGGTGTCATAGAAAAGTGTGTTGTCTTCAATTTCATCCCAAATTGTAACGACCCAAAAATCACGACTAAAAATTTCTTTTAAAACATTACTAAAACCATATTTATAAAACCGTATCATAAGTCATAACATAATTTTAGAGTATTAATTCAAAACAAAATCTCATTATCAGAGTAAAACATTCCCAGGCTAACTGACTATGGTGTGTGCACTGCAACCTCTCCGAGCTCCTCTTTTGAAAACTGAGTACCTGAAACCAAAACTGAAAACTGTAAGCACGAAGCTTAGTAAGCTCCCCCAAACTACCACATACCATACAATAACATATAAAGTGCATACTGGGCCTTGCCTACTACATCGGACTGAGGTCCGGACTAACTGGGGCCTTGCCCCTTGCATCAGACCGAAGTCTGGAAACTGACTGGACCTTGTCCCCTGCATCGGACCGAAGTCCGGACTATCTGGGGCCTTCCCCTGCATCAGACCGAAGTCCGGAAACTGACTGGGACCTTGCCCCTACATCGGACCGAAGTCCGGAACTGAATGACCAAAGCATAACATAAACATATCAACTAGCATGAACACACATATACTACATACTACATCGGGCCGTAGCCCGGAACGCATAACACATAAATCTTGTCTGAGCCACGAATGCATCAAACATAGTAACTACTGCATCGAACCGAAGTCCAGAAACTACTGCTAGCTAAACGGGTCGGCATTGTGGCCTTAGACCCGTTCCTACTGGAAGGAAACTCACCTGAACTGTTGAGCTCTGTTGATAACCCTCTGGCTGCTAACCGACAACCCTCTGAGGCGCTGCTCCTCTAGCTCTCTGGGCTACTAATAACAATATATCACTTAGTCTGACAGCCCTTCAAAAGTCAACTAAGTCAACTTTGGTCAAAGTCAACGTCCTGGTCACAGTCAACCTTCCAGGTTGAGCCTACTCGTCGAGTCAGCCTTCTGACTCGCCGAGTTCATATGCTCTGAAATCCCTTTCATTCACGACTCGACTCGCTGAGTCAGACCATGACTCGCCGAGTCTCCTGATTTCCGAGTCCTGACCTATCCACTCACTGGGTCCCCACTCAACTCATTGATCCGAGTCTTAACTCGAAGGGTTTGGGGTTTCGCAACTTGACTCGCTGAGTCCAAGGCAATCTTCAACAGACTCGCCGAGTTGTTCTTCCAACTCGCCGAGTTCATGCTCATGATCAAACAACTCGCCGAGTACACCCATGTGACTCACAGAGTCTCTTTAGTTCTTAATCCATACAGTGGCTTTTCGAGCCATGCAAGGACTCAAATCCATAGATCCATTCTTCTAGAGCCTAAGCCCCACGTAAAATGGCAAAATTTACGTGTAACCAAGGAGTTATAGGCTTAGAACACTCTAGGTCTAGGGTTTGTAACAAAGGTGCTTCACCAACAACTTATTGGCCTAAACTTTATGACTTTCTGGGTTATTACCAACGTAGATCTGAGGTAGCAACATCAAATCTACTCCAAACTCGAAA